AGGCCGGGAGGCAGGTGCGCGGCGTGTTGCAGGTGCAGGGCGTCAGCGTGGGCTGGGACCCGTGACGTCTTCTTTTTATTTATTTTAAATTTATTGATATTTTGAGAGATAGAAAGAGGAAGGGAGAGAGAAAGAAACGCCGGTTTGTGCCACTTCATTGATGCTCTCGGGGAGCGAGCCTGCAGCCTGGCTCGCGATGCCCTCGCCACCCGAGCTGCCGGGACGCTGCAGGTCTTTGTGTCCGGAGGGCGCGGGCCCTCAGTAACTGGTTTTGGGGAGGGGAAGACGAGTCCGTTTCCCTGAACAGCCCCTTCCCGGCCTGCAGACCGGGTCCCCTGCGCTGCGCAGACGTGACCGAGATCCACGCGGCCAGGAAGGTGCAGGGGCCCCGGGCTGGACCCCGAGCTCCCGCAGTGCAGCCAGGACCGAGGGGGCAGCTGCTGGGGCCTGAGGACACCCCCCAAACGGGGCTCTCCTGGCTTCAAGGGCAGCCACCGTCATGGGGACTTACTATGGGCAGGTGATTTTTTTAAAAAAAGGAAGAAAAAGAAACCTGGGAGTGAGACGTGGGTTGAAAAATCCTGTTTCTTTCCTTTGCTTTTCTCTGCGAGTGTTGTATCTGTAAGAGAGGGGGACCAGTAACCGCTAAGTGTGTATTTAGCTCTGACTTTTTGCCAGACACTGTGCCAAGCGCTGTGAGGACAGTCTCCCAACCTTGCAACAGCCCTTGGAGATCCATGCTGTTGTTGCCCCCGTTTTACGTATGATGAAATACTTGCATCAGACTCGCTGAGTTTCCGCGAGACTTGCACAATGTGTGTAAACACTTGCACAGGACCGTGTCTGGCACATAAAGAGTGTTTTTTTATGACTGTGTCTCCTAAAAAGAGCCAGAAACAGGGACCAGCTGTTCTACGCTTCGGAGTTACAGACAGTGTAATAATTTGTTCCCTTCTCTGTAGGTGCAGAGAAAAAGCTTTAAATTCTGATCCAGAGGGATTTCCTACAAGCAAACAATGAACATAAAAGAACTCCTATGTGAAAAAAATAGTGTTTCTACAAGTGTTAACTCGTCTAGTCGACGTCTTAAACACAGCGTAAAAGAAAAAAAAGCATCAACACGGTTTACAAACCGCTCATACTCGTACAGCGCTGTGTATTCCACAAAGCTGTCATCACAAATCCCATTTTGATGTTTGCATCGTATAAGTAAGTACACTTTAGTCCAGGTAGTGTAGTGACTTCTTTAAACTGTTAAATGGCAAGGCTAGGACTAGAATTGTAAGTCCATTTCTCTTTTCAGAGGCTCAGTTATATTTTTATTATTATTTTTTAAAGTATGTTTTTGTTGATTTTAGAGAGAGAGGAAGGGAGAGGGAGAGACATCGATGTGAGGGAGTAACATCCATCGGCTGCCTCCTACATGCCCCGTACTGGGGATCTAGGCCCTGACTGGCCCTGGCTGGGAATCGAACCGGCAACCTCTTGGTGCTTGGACAACACTCAACCAGCTGAGCCACACCGGCCAGGCCAGAGGCTCAGTTTTATAGTGTGATTCTGTACATGTAGAGGGTGAACTGGAATCTGCGGAATTGTCCGTAAAGAGCACTTTCAGCTGCAGGGTGTACGCTAGCTAACTGACTTGGGATTATATTCCTCATGTACAAGAAATGTGGATGTAGGCAGTTTCTGGTATTGACTCTGCTACCAAGAGTTGCCGCATTTGCTTTACCACTCGCTCTCTCCACGTAGGTACTTTCTCCCCATAGTCACTTAAAATACTTCAGTATTTCCTCAAAGCAAGGACATTCTCTTACATCACCGTAACACCATTACCAAATTCAGCAGATCTGACAGACACGGTATTATTTAACGTATAGGGTTTTGTTCCAGTTTCACCAGTTGTCCTGAGGCCGTCCTTTAGAGAAACACACAGGATGGAATAGCGTTCCTATAATTCTCAACAGCATTCCTTCAGCTTTAAAAAAAAAAAGGTCTTTATCGATTTCAGAGAGAGGAAGGGAGAGGGAGAGAGAGACAGAAACATCAATGGTGAGAGAGTCATTGACTGGCTGCCTCCTGCACGCCCCCTGCTGGGGAGGGAGCCCGCAACCTGGGCCTGTGCCCTGACTGGGAATCCAACCGTGATCTCCTGGATCCTAGGTCAACACTCAACCGCTGAGCCGCACCAGCCAGGCCCATAAGGACTTGTTTTAAATGGAAGCGTGTTGGGTTAGAGCAGCGTTTTTCAACCAGTGTGTGCGCAACATTTCTTTCTTTTTTTTTTTTTTTTTTTACTGATTTGAAAGAAAAAGAAATACCAACATGTAGAGAAATATTGGTCAGTTGCCTGCTGTACTCGTCCCCACTGGGGATTGAACCCTCGACCTAGATATGTGTCCTGACCAGGAATTGAACTGGCAACCTTTTGGTGCCCAGGACAACTCTCCAGCCACCTGAGCCACACCAGCCAGGGCATGGGCCGCAACAGTTCTTAAGGCATGTAATACCTATTTAGTCAGGAGCACAGGCCCCTTTTCCCCTTAGATTGTCAAACAAGAAAATGGCACCAGCCAACACGGAATTCACATGCCACACAGTTCACCTATTTAAAGGGTACAATTCAATCCAGTGGATCTAGGCAATGTTCATGGGGCGACAGAACTATCAGCACAGTCAATTTTAGAAATTCTCATGTCCCCAAAAGAAACCCTGCACCCTTCAGTCATCGCCCGCAAATACCCCTATCCCCCCAGCCCTGGGCAAGCGCAAACCCAGTGTCTCCGGAGCGGCCTATCCTGGGCTGTCCCTGTAAATGGGATCAACTACGAGGTCACATGGGCCTGGATTCCTCCACTCAGCCTAAGGCTTCGGGTTCATGTCGCAGCGTGTCTGTACCTCACTCCTTTTCATGACCGAGTAATACTCCCTTACACGGCTAGACCACACATTATTAACAACTCAGTAGCTGATGGGCGTTTGGATTGTTTCTACTTAGGAATTTTTAAGTGTTAATTTACAATGGGCGTCAGATAAAGGAAAATGGCCTTATGTTGTAATACAAGGTTTATGGGGCTTGAGAAAGAATCGCTACGAGATTGTCCCTTTTAAGCAAGAGTGGAGGCGGCAAAATTCATGTATTGATTAGTTGGTCAAAAGCAGCCCGGAAGGTAAGAAACCAACTTTAAAAAGAAACCTGGGGTTTTATGAATCTTCCTGGATCTTTTCCTGTTGTACCATCTTCAACTGCGGAGCCGACCTTGGTCTCGGGGCTGCTGACCACGGTACCCGGCGTCATGTGAGAGGCAGTGTGACTCTGACCCCGGCTGAGAGCAGGTGGATGACCTAAAGGTGGCCAATCAGATAGCCCTGCCTGGGACTTTAAGCCTGGACGATCGACCCAGAGACAGGTAGCCAGAGTGTGTTTTTTTAGAAAAGCAAGAATTTACTGGCTGCAGCAAAAACACACTTAGGACAGTGAAACAAGGGCGGGCATAGAAGCTACAGGAGGGCCTGGGCTGGGCTGCTCTGGCTCGCTGGGAAGTCAGAGAAAAGGGGGCCTTGGAGGCAGGTTCTTGGGGTTAGCCCTGGATGACCTGCTGCTGCCCATTGCTCCCCAGGTTCCAAGTCTGTGACATCCTTTGGAGTTTAGGGGATATGTGCCCATGGAGGGAGAGGGGGAGGGGGATGGCATGGGCATGCTCCCTGGAGGGACAGCATCCCGAGTGCGTTTGGTTGTGGGGCAGCCATAGGTTCTGTGCCCACTGGAAGTGGGGCCCTTGCCGGCCTCCCCCTGGGGCATGATTTGGGCTGTGTCTGGCCACTTAGCACAGAAGAGCCAAGAAAAAAAGTAGTGACTAGCAGCACATTATTAAACATAGTATAAGTAAATACTACTATGTTGTACTTCAGTTATTTAAAAGTTTGTAGAGCAGTTAGTTGTAAAAACGTTGCCCTGACCGGGAGGTGCTGTTGGTTAGATTGTCGTCTCGTACACCAAAAGGTTGAGAGTCGACCCCCTGTCAGGGCACATACCTAGGTTGCAGGTTCAGTCCCTGGTCTGGGTGCATACAGGAGGCAACTGATCGATGTCTCTCACATTGATGTCTCTTTCAGATCAATAAAAACACATCCTCGGGCCTGGCCCGTGTGGCTCAGTTGTTGAGCATCAACTTAGGGTGCAGGAGGTCAGGGTTCGATTCCTGGTCAGGGCACATGCCTGGGTTGTGGGCTCGATCCCCAGTAGGGAGCGTGCAGGAGGCACCCGATTAATGATCCTTCATCATTGATGTTTCTCTCTCTCCCTTCCCCTCTCTGAAATCAGTAAAGACATTAAAAAAATATAAAAACAAACCGTATCCTCAGGTAAGGATTAGAAGAGTAAAATAATTGAGAGGGAACATTTAGAGATGGAAATCTCTTAGAAATGAGTAACATTCCTCTTTAAAACATTTGGATCTCACACTGGAATCCTTTCCGATTGTTGTGTGTAACCAGCAGGGCCCATGACCCGTGGGACACGCCCCACACTCTCCCCCGCATCTCTTTCTACCTGAACAGTGTGTGTTTTACTCCTGCTGCCACAAACAAAGACACCTATAATAAAAACGTTTGTGTTTATTACATCAGTAAAATAATGACATGGTTTTACTGTTCTTTTTTTTTTGCGTTATGAGTTTTTCATAGTTTAAATGACCGTTTCTCTTTGAGTATCATTATAAACACGTTGGACATGTCCACACACAATACTCAGCTCCTCACAAACCAGGCAGTGGGGCACCTTCTGAGTGGACTCTGTCTGTCAGTGCCGTCCCTGCTATTTTCAAGCGTGTTCCTGGCAACCAGATATTCAGACATATTTTGGGTCTTCCCAAGATATGGCATTAGCTGTCTTGCCTGGAGTCCAGGGTCCTCTTAGTGGAGGTTAGTCTCAAAGCAAGGGCTGGGAAGTTTTATTTCTGAAGTCACAGCTTACACTGGTCAGTGACATCATGGCACTGGCCTCTACTTTTAAAGTATGTGATTTTATCAACAAGCAACATTTCCCCTTAGATTTTTAACTCTCTGTAAACTTCACAGCAGTGTATGGCGTATATGTAACAGGTGCTTAACGTGGAGAGAACTCTCCAGGACCAGAGCCGATCGTTTCTACAGCAAAGGGACCTGTGTGAAGTGATGCCCTTGGACCTCCCATTTACTTGATGGCAGTGCTGACTACAGTCAACGTGAGGAAACTGTTGTCAGCCAGCTGCCCAGGCCTGGGGAACTCTACCAGTACCAGAGGGGATGTGGGTCAGAAAAAGAGGGTAAGAAAGACTAAGAGCTTTGGGATCTTGTTTGGCTAAAAGTGAGAGGCATTCTGAATGACAAGCCTAATTCTGAACGAGAAGGTCGTGAACAGGTGAAACCTCAAGACCACGGGGGATAATATGTACATGTAACCTCAGTCTCGCTCGTCATGAAGCTCTGTTCACTAAAAAAGGTCAGGCTGAGCACATGATAAAAATCCACCATGCGAACAGCAGGCTTCTTCCCGGAGCTGGGCAGCGTCATTCCTCTTGGACATAACAGAGCCTGCCATCGTCCCCAAGCCGGACAGCCCCACTGGCCACCAGCTGCAGGGCTGCGGGGAAGACCTTATGTTCTGCCAGTTTCACTCTCTCCGACAGAGTGGCAGCAGTGTCGCCCCTCTTCACCGGGACAGCTTCTTGTAAGATGATCTGTCCGGCGTCCACATCTTCCTGAGAAGGAAGCAAAACAGTGAGCAGGGCTTTCCAGCCAGTGCAACTTCCACCCGAACACCGGCGATACTTGGGTAGAAAAAGACATACTCACAGAGACAAAGTGCACGGTGCACCCGGTGACTGTGACGCCCGCGTCCAGGGCCTGCTCGTGGGCGTTTGAGCCCTTGAAAGAAGGGAGCAAGGACGGGTGGATGTTGATCATTTTCCCTGGAAAGTAAAGCACAGGGGTCAGAATGGAAACATGCTGTGCATGGGTAGAGGAGTGTGTGCTTCCTGCCCAGGAACAGGACCAGAGGGGCAGGGTTTCTGTGAGACAGAAAGGAGGCAGAGGGAAATGCAGGTTCTCATCTGAGGAGGCCCTGGGGGGGCGCAAGCTCCTGCTCCGCACAGCTGAACACACTGAGGGACAGGTCCCTGCAGTGACTGAGGCTGGACAGGGACGTGATGGTGGGGTGTCCAATGTGGACCTTGGGCTCTTTGAAGAAAATTCAGCTTGTCCCTGGTGCACATGACTAAAAAGACATACAAAGTCCTTGCAGTGTCCATGTGCCTGACTTGAGACCAGTGGCATGTCCACCAGCCAGACTCTGGCTTGGTTAGTCCTGCGCCTCAGTCACCAGGCCCTGCCTGGTTCATATTCTACCACACACTCTGTGGTTTGTTTCTAGGGAAACAAACTTTGGAGAGAAAACGCATTATTGCCCACACGTGCGCACAAAAAGCACACCAGGATGCAGCCGGAACGTTTGTGGGGAAGGCAGTAGCCCCGGGCGGTTTGTTCTGGGCAACGTCTTCCTCGCCACCTCTGGGAGCCGCCTGCGCTTCCTGAGGAGAGGGTGGGGCACAGCGAGTCACTTTCTTTGGCTTCCAAACAAGTACAAAGGTCTCTCCCGAGCACTGACTCAGACGATGAAGCACTGTCCTTGTGGTGCTGGGGACAAACCTCGGCTGCTAGAAGGGCTGGTTACAGCAGGCAGAGGAAGCTGGCGCAGGGCAGGTCAATAAATCAGCGCCGGGACCCTCTGGGCTCAGGCGCAGGAAACGACACAGTGCCCTGTGCCATAAAACCAGCGTCTCCATAAACACATCCCGGGACTGTTGGGAAGTTAACGGCCCCCCAGCCACTTCCACTCGGTTCCCCAACCTGGTGTCAACCCCGTGCTGCTCACCGTTCCACTTCCTGACAAAGGGGCCGGACAAAATCCTCATGAATCCCGCGAGACAGACGATGTCCGTGGAGAACTCTTCCAGGACTTGGTCAACTGCACTGTCAAATTCCACACGGGTCTGATATGACTTATGATTGATTACCTGGAACAGGAAAACAGAAGCACAGTCTATTTCGATGAACTACCAAAAAAATTTAAAGCTCAGCCTTCACATAGACCAGTTGCTCCCTCTGCCACACGTGGTATGAAGAGGTAAGGAGCCGACGGGGGAAGCAGGAGGGCAGCCCGCACCCACCCCAAGCCCAGGAATCCAGGACAGGAGCCCCGAGCCCCAGGTCCTGGGGGGCGGAAGATAGGTTTAAACAGCCTGCGGGAAAGACACTCTAAGCGACGTACGCGGGTGGGGATGCCGGCTCTCGCTGCTCTGTCCAGCCCGGCCACGCCGGCTCTGTTGGAGACAACGACCACGATGTGGGCAGCACTGCTGGGCTCCTGGGTGCTGTCTATCAGAGCCTGGAGGTTCGAGCCTGAGGAGGGGAAAAGCACAAGCAAGCTCACACCTCTTAAAGAGAGGACCGTGCCATTTAAACATTTCCAATTACAGCTGCCATTCAGTGTCACATCGGCTCCAGGTGCGCAGCATAGTGGTCGGACACTACAAACCTCACTAAGTGGCCCCGCACGGGTAAGGCGAGCACCCACCTGGCGCCACTCGTAGGCATCACATTACTGCCCATGCTCCGTGCTGGACGTCACGTCCCCGTGACTATTCCCTAACAGCCACTGCGTACTTCTCAGTCCCCTCACCTTTGCCGCCCAGCCCCCCAACCTGCTGCGAGGTGACATTTGGAAGAGAGCGGTCAAGATTCCTGGGTAAATGTCTTAGAAAATATTGGCAAAATACGTGAGGTGTCTAGGCTCCCTTCCTCCTGGGATTGTGGACACACAGCTTATGGAAACACAGGCGCGCCTGGTCTTAGGATATGTGGTTGCTCTTTCAACAAGAAGCATGGGGGAAATATGTGCACACTTATCATACAGGGAAACACCCTCAGACGAGGGACAGGGCTTGTGGGGTTCAGTCTTCATAAGCTGAGCAAGGCCTTGGGTTCATTAGTGAGTCTTAATGACATTTCTTCATTATAGATCTCCCCGAGTGCCCCAGATGGACCCAGCCAGCGCACCCGCCTCGGCCGCCTGTGCCCGCTGCGCAAAGCCACCCTCTAGTCTGGAGTTTGTTCACTCTGATCTCTGACTACACCACCCAGGCAGGCCTCCCATACTGTTCAAGGCATTTCCTTCCAGCTTCTCCACACTTCTCTACGGTCCACCTGCAGTAACTCAGAACCCATAAAATTTAGGGATACTACGTATTTCTTTGAATATCTTGCTATAAAAAAGAATTGTCACACAGCATAATAAGCATTAATGATATAAAAACAGTGTACTCTCTGTGTCTATGTAATGATACGACTGTTTTTTTATGTAATTCATGAAATGTGATGTTTTTCATCAGGAAATACTGAACTGTGTAATATTTGTTTGCTCTCTTTTAAATTCCTGACAGCAAATCAAGGTAAATGACTGCGCTTACCCTTGAGCAGGACTACAGCGTTCATTCAAACGTGCTCTGCTCTACAGAAGCAAACAAACCAACCAACCGCGAGGCCTTCACCATAGGCTCCTTGCTCTACCATCAACTTGGGCCTCAAGTATTCTGAAATCTCAGAACAGACTTGTAAAGCCTTCTGGGAATGTAACTCACAGAAATCATCAGATATGCACTTAATATGACTTATGAGAACGTCAATTCACAGCAACGTCACTTACACTTGCGGAAAGCAGTCAGCTCTACCCATCTGAGAGAGTGATACTCTTGTTATCTACTCCTCCATCCCAAGTGTCAGACATAAATTCCACATTCTTCTTCTTATCATTAGCAAGTGAAAAAACCCCTTCTACTATTACAAGACTTTCTACTATTACATGACTACAAAGCCATGATGCAAAAGCAGCGGGATTTTCCATCCTGTTTTTTCTTTCAGAGCCACCTCACACGCTTGAGAAAAGTGGAAAGTGTGAGGCTGCAGAGACGACCCTCCTCCAGGACTCCTCTCTGTGGGCCCGCTCTACTCTGCTGGTGTTCTCACAACCTGAGGGTTTTTGCTGGGGAGGAAGGGGCGAGATGGGGTGGGGAGGAAGGGAAGAGCATTTCTACGGCGCTGCAATAAAGAGGAAGCCACATCTCACCTGTTCCAGATATTAAGACAGCCACTCTTGCCTTTCTCGGTGGGACAGAGAAGTGACTTCTCACGGTGCCATTCTCCACCACCGACCCTCGTATCCGCATGGCTTCAATCAGGTGCCTGACTCTCACCCGAGGGGAACCTTCATTTCAAACACACCCAGAAAAGAAGTAAAGAGCCATGAATTAACAGTGGTGATAGAAAGTATTTCATGAGAACTTTAAAATACTGTATTTTATTCTGACACTAAGATATGCAAGGGCTAGAGTAACAGTATGTGTTACTTTCACATTCCTCACTCATAAAACCTTCCTTAAGGTGAACATATTACCTACTTCAGCCTAAGCCCACGTGGACGTTCTGCTGCCTGCCAGGGTCCTGTCCCCACTCCTCCCATCTCCCATCCACGATGGTGCCAGGAGCTCCTGGCCTCAAGGGCGGGCACATGACCCAGGCAAAGCCATTCGAAGATCTGACACAGGACGTTGGGAAAGAGAGGGCCTCTTTCCTATTGCAAAGTGAGCCCAAGGATGTGGGCTCAAGACATTTTTTCTGATACGTGGAGAACCTGCCTGAAAATGAAACCTACACAATAAAGGAGAGACTCAGATAAAAAAAAAAAAAATCACAAGCCCTGATACCTGTCAGCCAGTTCTGAGTGGGTTTTCTGCCACTGCCGATTTCTAGCAGTTGTCAGTGTCCCTGTGTAATTCATATACTTGTCGGGGTGCTCGCGCGATACTCCTTGATCTGAGCGGAGCCACAAAACAGCCCAAGACAAGGTCTTCAGGAAGGGACTCCAGGGACCAGAGAGATGATGGAAGAGGGGCAGAGGAGCGGGTACAGGAGTGTGCTAAAACCTGGTTCCCAGTGGGCACTGGTTCCCGCTTCCCTAGGACCCTCAAAGGGGCCAGGTAGACTGTGCCTCAGAACTACTCCCTTCTTTTGTCCCTGAGGTGGGTTCTTTCTCACTAGCTCCCACCCCACTGGTCAAGGCTCCTGCTGCGGGGTGTGGTGCATATGCTACTGCTACGGAGAGGTCTGAGCCCTGCGGCAGAAATGAAGAGGTATGTGGTGTCACGGGCGTGGCTGTTGTCATGTTACAGCTGTGCCCTGTGCCACAGCGATGCTGGGGTGAGAGGTGGACAGAGCGTGCGTGTGAGGCAGGACACAGATACATTCAGGATGATGCACAGAAGAGAATTAAATGAGGAACTACTACCTTCAGGGCAGGCCACCACCCTGCCAATCACCCAGGCTTCTTCCTGGCGTTGCTGAATGTCCCTCAGAACCTGCTCTGTCAGGTCCTCCGACACCACGAGGGCAGCCCCGACCCCACAATTAAACGTTCTGGCCATCTCTTCTTCAGAGATGTGTCCTTCCTGCTGTAACCACGAGAAGACGGTGGGGATCCTCCAGGTCTGGGCATCTGCAAACAGGCAGGAGTTGTCTGATTAGCCTGTGAGGTTTAGCTGGGCCTTAGCGATGACCAATGCACCACAGGCAGGATGCTAAACCAGGCGCTTGTGTTCGGATTGAAAGGAAGCGCATGCACTAATGAAGTCATGTTACACAAGAGGTTTAAGATAAATATCCTATGTCTGCCTATTTATTTTTAAAAACTTAGACTCAGTTCTATTTTAAGACTGTACCCTCTATTATCGCAAATAATATAACAAAAATTTCTCTGGCTTCTAGTTATGGGATCTGATTTACAAAAACTATACTGAATTAAACACTTCACAATGATGCTCCTAAGAAAAGAAAGCCACTGAACTTAGCTTTTAATTACAAAATGGGGCTGACCATCCACTCCCCTTATTTACTTGGTGCATCTGCGGGATAATTAGTTTTTTAATGCTCTAGAGTTGATATATTTAATTGATTTTTTTCTAGGGAGAGAAACATTGGTTTGTTGTTCTATTTATCTATGCTTCATTGGTTGAGTCTTATATGTGCCCTGACCAGAGATCAAACCTGCAACCTTGGCGTATCGGGACGATGCACTAACCAGCTGAGATACCCGGCCAGGGTTAGAGTTGATAAAATTTTTAAGAGGCGTCATACATCTATGAATTTTCTCCCCTATCAGTTTTTGTTTTGTTTTTTAAATATGTCTTTATTGACTTCAGAGAAAGGAAGGGAGAGATAAATATCAATGAGAGTCACTGATCAGCTGCCTCCTGCACACCCCCTACGGGGGATCGAGCCCGCAACCCAAGCATGTGCCCTGACCAGGAATCAAACCACGATCTCCTGCATCATCGGTAGATGCTTAACTACCGAGCCATGCTGGCCTGGCAACACCTCCTCTTTTATAAGTCAATTACATGAGACGGTTTCATGCCTTACAAACACGGCAAATAAAGCAAAAAAAGGTAGGAAGGGGTCAGCCCTGTTCTTTCCCCAAGACAATGATAAGAATTCCCACATATAATCACATGTGCACTAATTACCCACAGGGTTTTTCCCCTAGGGTATTTTTTCTCCTAATGCAGCTCACCTAAATCTACCCCACATTTCGGAGGGAGTACTCTGGGGATGTTCTCTAGCAGCCCTCCGCCGGTGATATGGGCAAAGGCCTTGATGTGTCCTGAACGCAAGACAGGTAACAGGGAGGGGCTGTAGATTCTGGTTGGAGTCAGAAGTAAGTCCCCTGAATATTGGAGAGAGAAGACAAAAACTTAGCAGATGAACATAAAACCAAAGCACATAAAACCCACGGAATGGAAGTAGAGAATGACCGTGACCTTGTACCATAATGCCAGTTCTCTAGTAATGTCCAGACAAGGCCACGGGACACTGTCACTTATTCCACTCTAGGTAATGAGACTAACCCCCTCAGTGGCTGCTCAGACAGTTCCAAGCAGGAGACTGAAACGAAAGCGCACTCACCTAAGGTCTGGTTGCCACAGCCATCGGGCGCTGGAGAGGAGTACTGAAGGGAGGACTTCGCTACAATCTTCCTCACAAGGCTAAATCCGTTGCTGTGCAGACCAGACGAAGCTACTCCGATAACCACGTCCCCTTCAGCAACACTCTCCAGGGGACGCAGTTTCTGGTCCCGCTCCACGGCCCCGACGGCAAAACCGGCCAAGTCATAGTCCCCGGGAGGGTACATGTCCGGCATCTCTGCCGTTTCCCCTCCTGGTGGGAATACAAAAGAACGAGATTACAGTATTTACACACCTGCCCGGGCAGTAGGGACAGCAGCCACAATTAAACGGGAAGCTACACCCCACACATGCAATAGTGTACTGTTAGCCGCCTAGCAGGACTTTCAACCGAGCACGATTTCAGGGGAAATAGCACTAACTTCCAAAAAGGGCGAGCACACCTCCAAACATCATTCCTTTCATGAGAGGGATCTCAGCTGAATGGAATGTAACTTGCAGAGCAGTTGAGCCTCAGCAATGCTTTCACCTGTACTTGGTCTTTACAATCGCTCCGTTCTAGGTGACAGTACAGGCTGAGAGTGATCAATCAGCCCGTCTAACTCCAAATGTCCCCGCGTAAAACGGACCCCACAGTTCACTTCATGATAATATTGTAAAGACAGGATCTAGGCACACAGACTCCAAATAAGAAACTATTCTAAAAAATGGCTGAAACAATTTTTGGCCTCTGGAACAGACCTGTCCCCAGAAATGGTGACATAAAAGAGGTAATTGTGGTCCTTGTTCAACCTACAGATTTATTTTGTTAAAATTTTTAACCCTCACCTGAGGATATTTTTTCCACTGCTTTTCAGAGACAGTGGAAGGGAGAGAGGGAGGGAGAGAAACATCAGTGTGAGAGAGACACTAATTGGTTACCTCGCACATGCACTCTGACCTGCGCAGGCGACTGAGTCTGCAACCGTGGTCGGTGCCCTGAGCAATAAATGAACCCGGGACCCTTCAGTCTGCAGGCCGACGCTCTAACCAATGAACCAAGTTGGCTAGGGCCCTACACGTTTATTTTGCTCAAAATTCTCATATATTTAAGCAATGTTTCCATAAATCTTGGACACATTTTGTGTTCCTTTGGTGGGAAAATAAGACTCAAAATGCAAAGAACCCACCTGCCTGGGCTGCAGGGCCAGTAAGGAGGGAATGACCCCCACCCTGTCTGTCCGAGAGGCCACTGAGAAAGATGGGATGACAATGGTGCCAAAGGTCAGGGAGACAGGGGAGGCCTGGCCTGTAAAGGGGTATGAATCTGGGAACAAACACGCGAGGAGGGGCTTCAGGACACCAGGGTCTAAGTTCTATTTTATTTGCCTCATCTTGTGATATGTGGTCTCTCACGCTTGCTGTACTGGTACCGATCACACTTACACACAGGGCTGAAGTACAGCAAAGCGGATGCATGATTAAGGTGGGGGAGCATACCGAGGAGGGCACACCCAGCTTTCCCGCATGCCTCTGCGATCCCAGCAACAACAGCTGCAGCTGTACTGAGGTCAAGTTTTCCACAGGAAAAGTAATCGAGGAAGAAGAGGGGCTCTGCTCCTTGGGCCAGGATGTCATTCACACACATTGCAACCAAGTCTTGACCAATGGTGTCATGTTTGTTGCACTGCTGGGCAATCTACACAACAGAACAGCCACGTGAGATTAAGCTCCACATTGTAACTTATCAGTTTAGCAGCAGAGGCTAACAAATATTACCACTTCTGGCTGGTTGCTCTGAACACCTCCAGACGAAAGAACACTAAATTCTGATAGGCCGCTCGGTCCAAAGTATCCCCTTTTAGCCCCTAAGTAACCCTTCCATCTGGATACAGCCTCAGCAATATTGTGTTAAAACACGTAGATATTTTAGTCATATTATAGGGTTATCTGGGATGGTTCTCTTTAGTGCTTGTACATCAAAAGGGGAAAACAGGTACTTGACATAACAGTAAATTCTTTCTATGTTCATACAAGGTCTCTATGTGCAAAGGTGTTTAATTACCTTTAGTTTCGTTCCAACACCATCTGTTCCACTAACCAGGAGAGGGTCTTTGAAACCGGCTGCTTTCAAATCAAAAAGACCAGCAAAACCTCCGAGATCGACATCACAGCCTGTGGGGGAGGAAATTCAAACCCTGATGTGTTTCCACTGACCAGGTGATGGTGAGTCTGCAGAACACTTCCGATGCCTTTCCTGGGAGCACCGCGAGCTTGAAGCACTGACTGAGGAGTAATTAAATATTAAAGGGGCAGACATGTCCTTTCGAGTTTAACATCATAAATGTGTTTCTTAATAACAGAGACAAGGAAGCAGGAGACTGTGGGTCAGCCTGGCACAGAACTGGGTATTAATTTGGAACATTTTTCCTCTGTAAACTACAAAGCTCAAATCAGTCCACAGTGTCTGTCAAAGTCAACGAACTAGGAAAGGATAGGATCTGACTCACCTGGTCTGGAGGTGGCTTTTGCTAAAGGTTTGATTTTCTTGACGAGCAGATTTCCAGCTGCAATGTCTACCCCAGATTCCTTGTAAGTCAGGCCCCTAAAGGATTAAAAACACAAAACAAAACCTAGGACATAACCTAAATGTCAGGGAAAACGATGTACTCTTACGCTATTATGTAAAGCAGAAGATATCCCTCGTGATTCTGGCATCTGCTCACGTGCTGGGCCCCTCCACAGACGTTGCTATAACTGGTCCAGGGCTGGCCTGGAGACTGAAGTGTTTAAACCACCTGCTCAGGGGAGGAGGCTGTGTCATCCCTACTGCAGACTTCTCTTACTGTATTCCCCCATTAGCACTGCTCACAGGCAGCTGGATATACTGACGCTGTGCCACAGCCTTTCTCTGTTCAGTTTGGTATGGGAAGGGAAGGAGCGTCAAAGCAAAGTTGGAAAAGTAAAAATTAGGATTCTAAGAACTCTACAAAGAAATCCCCAAAGAATGAAACCGAGTTCTTGCTGCAACAACAGAGAATTGTAATAGTTTCCTTATAGCTGAAGACAGTTAACAAACAAGATAAAAACTATGAAAAAAGTACAGTGAGGTAACGGCCTCTGGTGCATCACCTTCTCTATCAGGCAAACACCAGGGAGCGGTACATACGTTCAGAGATCAAGTTTGTGAGGAGCACCGTGGATTCGGTAGTCTCGCCCTACAAAAGGTTTAAAAAAACCTTCATCTTTAATTTAAAGAACTCAGACTAGTGTTAAGATTGCAGTCCCTTGAAGTAGGGTTCCACTGGTCATTTCAACGGAATCCACTCATTTTAAAATAAAAAAATAAATTTTTAGCACGGTATTTTAATGTTATTTGTAAAAAAAAAAACAAAAAACGCCAGTATTTTAAAAACTTGCCTATCAGTAGCAGTACAGCTTGAATTAAGTTGCTAAAAACTTATTTTGTCCTAAAACTTATTTCTCATAGATGAACTCGACAAAGAATAGTAACTGCGATATACAATTAAGAAAACAAAACACCCACACTTGCAATTAAAAGTTTATTGATTTTTACAAAGGAATAGTTGTACATGTCAATAAATGAATCAATAAGGGTGAAAAACCCATCTCAGTGATAGACTTAAACGCAGTGACAAGACGACTGCCAAACATATGGTATCAGCAAGTTAACCTGCAAGAGTGGATGACCAATCTTTTCATTTTGAATTCTTTGACAAAACCAGGAATTAAGATATAACTAAATAGCAATATTTAAATATATGATAACTCGAGGAATAAAAATCCCTTTCCCTGTCTTTACTGATGAGTAACAAATGGCTGTATATATTTAAAGTGTACAATGCGGAAAAGTCTTTAATACCACTGTGATTTTACTAAACTTCTCAAACAGAAGGAGCTCCCATGAGGTTTTTTTCTATTTCATTTGAATATTGTAAATGGTTTGGATTCAAACTAAATGCAAATCAAAATCAGACCCACCCCACAGGGAGAAGACTACAGAAAGGCTCAGTGCAGGGCTAATGGGATTTTCTGCATAGCTCTATGTGCCAATTTTGAAGCTGTGCTATCAGCACCCGGGTGAGAAATTTACCTGGGCTGCTGGAGGAACGCTATGGCCCGATAGCCAATGTCCTTCCTATAAACGGCTCCCTCAAACTTTATAGCAGCCAGTCCTTTATTGGCTCCTTCGAGGGCTGAGATGAGATCTTCCCGGATGGCTGTCACCGTGAGGACTCGACCTCCGTTGGTCACCACTTTGCCATCTTTCAGGGCTGTACCTGCCTGGAACACCTCCAGCCCTAAAGCCTGAGCCTCGGCAACCCCTGTAAGAGAGCACATTCGACTCACCATCTGCAATGACAGTATTCTACACTGTGAGCTGGTTACTAATTTCCAGAAATTTTCTTTAAAATAAAATCTTTACTTCACTTTAATGAGTCGTCACAAGAATCCTATCAGGAAGGAATGAATGCAATGAATAGTAAACAGACACTTTCTCCTAAGGACAGTCTGTTCTGTGCTATCATAAGTGTCATGTAAGAACTATTATTTCAATGAGGGAGGAAAAAAAGAAGCTAAGCCCTAAAAAGTTTGAGATTTCAAAGTAGAAAGTTATTTTTTCCCAAGTTAAAAAAATCTAAACATCAATGAATAATTCTGGATTTGATGGCGTCTTTTACTTAAAAGTAATTTCTCTTTTATCATAACTACCCAAGTAAAGGTTCCTAGGTTCCTTCCTTCCTTCAAGAACCCATAGGACCACTGCCATGCAAAACACTTTCTTAATCTTTCCCCCAATAAAACAACTGTAAAACTTTAAGGCAAATGTGATTTAAATTAGATTTTAGATGTAGTCTAAAATCCTTGGCTTGATTTTGTTTTGAATTATTTTTAAAGCTCTCATATATAATTTTACACTTAAAACGAACATGGACAGTTTGTACAAAGATATAATCCTTAAATTTTTAAAAAAACCATTCTTAAATCCCCAGGTTGTTCTTTACTGTCTCCATTTCTCTTTCATTTTTAAAAATATGTTCCTATTGATTTTTAAAGAGAGGAAGGTAGTCTGTTAATCTATGCCTTCCTCAAAGTGTTTTGAATTCCTAACTGCCCAGGTGCCATGTGTGGGATTCACAGGGCAATGGACTTCTTGTCTGGGCAAGATAGTAAATAGGGTATTTGAATCAAACACACTATTGAAGTACCGAGGGAGGCCACGCCTGCCAGGGACCACGGAGGCCTGCCTTTGGGTTTATGGCACTGGAAGTTACTTGGCATTTTAAACACAGTTCTATTTAACATCATTTAAGTAGTTCCTCACCTTCTGTAAAGAGAAACAGAAGAGAAGGCTATACTTAAGAAAGCATTTGAACTCTGCCATCCAGGTGACTATGGGGTGGGATGCAAATGGGGGATCCACTTGTGATTATTCCGATATTATCCATCTGAAATTTACCTCGCTGATGTAATCACAATAATGTCACTCTAACCCCATAGAGTCCCATCATCTTCCCGGTGCTCGGCGAGGCCCACCTCAGTCTTTCTTTTCCAGAAAGGGAAATGGATTGCAGTTCTTAAGATATAATAATTTTGGACATTTGAACACACACATTCAACAAGCAACAGGTGAAGAACCCCTTGAAGGCTCTGACAGCCTTACAGCCTAAGAACATAGGGAAAGAGCATGGGAGGGAAGCCTGCTGCGGGCCAGGCACCTGCCACACTGAAGTCAATCTCTCACTCCCCAGACTCACCTGTTATCTCCGCACCCTTGGTGTAGTCTCCTGGATACCCCTGACTTGCCATGACAACAGTTACGGCCACACGGTTTTCAAGCCAGACAGGCGGAGATGCGCAGAGCAGGCCATCCAAGGTAGACTGAACCACTTCATAGAGATCACTTTTAAGAAGTGGGAGGATTACCTGGAAAATCATAATCAGCAAGGCAACAGGGAGGAGTTTTAGCTCTTAGACATTTTATTCACTGGGACACCAGTAAAACCTGCACCTCCAGGTGACTCAAGAACAACGTGGGAGGGAGGGGCTCAACACCCACAGTCAAAAATTCCCATATTACTCATGACTCCCCCAAAACTCTAGTCATCCCTCGCTATCCACAGGGTATTGGTTCCAGGACCTCACTGCAGATTCCAAACTTTGGATGCTCAATCCCTTTACATAAGGCTGCGAAGATCAATGTACAGTCAGCCTTCCTCATCTGCGGATGCACAACCACAGACTGAAAACACTGTTTCTAGACGAGGGAGGATGGCTGAAGCAACAGATTCAAAACCCAGGAACAGGGAGGGCTGACTGTGTATTTATTCTTAAAACTCTGCCTGTAAGTGGACTCTACAGTTCAAACTTGTGTTGTCCTGGGTCAACTGTGTTTCTCAAAGGTGATCATTTCAAGGCCTATAAATCCTGAGATTAAAACATGCATCTTCTACAAAGTAACACCTTATACTGGTTTTAATTATTACTCACTTGGCACTCGGGATCACCGAAGCGGCAGTTAAACTCCAGAACTTTTGGGCCATCCTTGGTCAGCATTATACCAGCATAGAGAACACCTTCATTCGAAAGGAAAAAATCTACATTGAAGACACTGTATTGTGACTGACAATCAAAACATAAATGTCTAATACTTGAAAGTATGGAATATCAACAAGCGCCACGACAGTGGTCAACGAAAGGTGGTGAAATAAGAAAATGGGAAGTGTGCCGAAGCGGTGAAGCTGCCCCGTGAACAAAGCCCACAAACGTCAGCGCGCACCTGTGTACGGGGAGCCCTCCTGCTGCATGCCGTCCACTGTCCTCTGAAGAATGGCATTTTTAATCTTTAGCAGCAAATCCTTAGAAACCTGGGGCACAAGCAGAAGTATGTAAATGTAACTGGTATTTAAATTAAAAAAAAAAATCTATTGATTTCAGAGAGAGGAAGGGAGAGGGAGAGAGAGAGAAACGTCAATGATGAGAGTCACTGATTGGCTGCCTCCTGCACCACCCCTGCTGGGGAGCGAGCCTGCAGCCCAGGCATGTGCCCTGTCTGGGAATCGAACTGGGATCTCCTGGATCCTAGGTCAATGCTCAAATGCTGAGCCATGCTGGCCGGACTGTAACTGGTATTAAAAAATTATTCTGTGAGCAATACCACGTGGGGCAATGAGAGGGGACAAGGAAAGCTAGTATTTATTTAGTACCAGATATACGGTGAGCACTTTAAATGCATAAACTTTTAAAATCCTCATACTGACCCTATCAAGTCAGTATTTAACTTTACTCTTATGAAATAGGAAAGATGACATCTAAAAGTTAGAAATTACCATAAACAGAAAAGCACTAAGAGCTCTTTGAGAAGACCAAGCAATTCCTCCTGAACTCAGCCGAGCCTCTGGGACGTACCTGAGGTGCAGGACAGTAGGCCCCCATCCCCCCTGTGTTGGGGCCATGATCTCCCTCCAGCAGTCGCTTGTGGTCCTGCGCTGGGGGCATGGGAGCCACGGTCCTTCCATCAGTGAAGCACAGACACTGCACAGGAAAGAAAACGGTCCACTTACCGAAGGTGCCCAGAGTACAAAATTAACTAGTACGTGGAAAGTGAACCCTAACTCTTCCTAGAAGAAGTGTTTTCTTCTTTTAAAGTAAAGTGAGTTAGAACATAAATAACCCTATGCTAACTACATCAAGAATCGGGTTAGGTAAAAAGTCAAGCTACTCTCAAAACATTTCAACCTTTCTCCACTTTACATAATGTTTGATACAGTCCAAGTCCCTTACTGAGACACTGGGGGTGATTAAGAGAGGATACATTCGTTTTTCATTTGCACCCCAAGTGCTAAACATATACAGTCCTCTGTAACTGCTGATTTACGCTTTCATGTGAAAGCACCGGGGCAGAGCAGGTGTCTGGGGCTCAGAGGTCAGCTGACAGCTCCTCGCACTCTGAGGGCCCAGGTGTGAGTATACTTACAGAAACCTCTTCTCCCTCAAGGAGTTCTTCAATGACAATTGTTTCTCCAGCTGCTCCAAATGCTTTATCCTTATGGTAGATTAAAAAAATAAAAAAGCAAATAGTAAGCTCTTAACATTTACTTCACTGGCTGCTGTCATGTTCTGCCATTTGTACTATGAACCAATACATGGGTATTGTAATTTCTCTTTCCCTTTCTGGAAGCCTCCAAGGGACATGAGTGTTTCCTAATTTTAAAGTGGCAATGACCTGGAGCCAGCACAGGTACAGGTGAAAGGGCTCACAAAGAGACATTTCACCATTACCATTTAATTCTAATTTTTGATGATGATTATATCTGCTTGCCTACAATAATTATACTAAAGAATGTCTGTGAAAGTAGATTTCTACAAGGAGGGGACACCTACAGCAACCCAGACGGATCATGAAAGAGAAGCAAAGTATATTAATTCGATGCTTCACTTCTGAGATGTGGGACACAAAGGGCAAAGAATTTTGTCCTCGTGCATGTTTGAGAATGTGTTTGTATTTTCTGCCTTTCGGCAGCAGACAACAAAGGATGCCGCAGGAACGTGCTTCCAAAGAACAAAGCTGTGCAGGGTTCAGCATCGTCATTGGTCTGCCTTAGAGATGGATTATAACACAAAGTCTTATGAAAAATAACTTACCTGTGTGTTTGCTGCATACGTTTTCCTTCTCTTGAGGAACATTTTGTAAACTTAAGAGTAGAAAGCTATAAACTCTATCCAGTGTGACAAGGAAATTATAAATGTTTCCAGAGGAACCAGCTTACCTGCATGATCTCCTGCACGGCTCTGCAGGCCTCTTCTCTGCTCTCTGCCACTATCACCCCTTTCCCGGCGGCGAGGCCGCTGGCCTTCACGACCAGAGCAGGGAAGTCCGCACTGTGGAGAGAGGGTCACCTTCAGCATCCAACAAACCCTTTCAGTTTAAAAATGTAAGCTGCTTTGGGTTTTTATAAGGATATGCTCTAACAACAAGAGGAAAGCAGAAAGGAACAAATGACTGATCTTATCAACAACATTTTGTACTTCCCTCCAGGATCCTTTCCCTATAGATCGCTTTATGGCTGTGATCACACGGCACACATCACATTGGCAAAATCTTTGGAAGAATAAAGCAGTTGTACAGTGGGTACAGAATCATCTTTCAGATACAAAGTAGTGAAACCTACTCTCAAGTAGAAGACATGGCTGTGTAAGAATAAGACCATTTCTCCAAGGACACAGTTTCTCCTGTTGAGTGAGACTGGATATCTGAAAGGACACTAAGTAACAAAGTCCTTACCCAAGGCATGGGGCTACTAGGAAATAACACTCAGTGCTTAAGAGACTCTGTAGGACTCAAGATGAATAAAGAATGAAATTGACTCAACTAAAGGGAAAACATACCCGGTCACAGGGAGAGGTGTCAATAAAAAAGGGCAAAGTCACGCACCTGCCCACATTCATGAACAGGATGTCTGAGTTTGTGATCCAGAGCCGAGCAGTGCTGGCACAAGGCCACCAAGTGATGCTTCCTCACTCTGGTTAACCATTTATAAATGAAACCAATATCCTTTATTTTCTAAGCTGCCACTGTGTATGTCAATTTGGCTGTGAAACCAAGTGTATCTCTTTCCCTAGAAACTATTCAGTAATAAATATAAAATTCAACTCTCTACAAGACAATACAACATTGTACTATACATGCATAGAATCCCATTTTCTTTTGATGTTGGAAAAAGGCAACCAAAATAGAATGAGTCCCCCTGCCCCCCCCCAATTATCTTACAATAAACTGGTGACACACAAGTGACCCGGATATTTAACTATGATAATGAAATAATTGCCCTTTGCGGTCGCCCTCTGTCTACCTCATGATGAAGCTGCAGGCCTCTTCAGGTTGGGTGAACGCTCTCCAGCGTGCAGTTGGGATTCCGTGTCGGTCCATAAACTCTTTGGCAAACCTTTTGCTGGACTCCAACTGAGCCGCTTCTGCTGTGGGGCCAAAGCATCGCACACCTGCGGACGCCAGGCTCCCGACAATTCCTGTGGAGGGAAATGAGCAGCCTCCAGTGAGCCAAGGTCTACGGCACCTCTCCATTCTCAAGAAGAATTAGGATTAGACTAAATCCACATTGAGATACAGCAGATGACTGCTGGTAAGATTTTCATGCTGACTAAAGACTATGAACAAAAATGCTACTAACGTGTGATTTAAATCCAGCAGAAGTTAGTTGTTATTCTCAACATTTGGGTTATTAAATAGAAACCAGAATAAAAACATAAAAAGTGTTTCCCATGACTGCAGATTTGATTTATCACTCATCACATTTCTGATACCTAAGGAGAAATAAAAGGTCTTTTCCAATGCAGCATCACATTAGAAGCCCTTGTCTCTAAAATGAACTAGATTAGATGCTGTCCAAGCTCCTCTGGCACTGGATATTCTGTAATAAGAAAGAGAAGTGGACTTTACCGGCAGCCAGAGGTGCCTCTGGTCCAACAACTACGAATTCAATGTTCTCATCTTTGCAGAACTGAGCAAGGGCACTGTGATCACTGGTGGAGACAGCTGCAAACAGAAAAAACAAGCCCACCTCAGTTACAAAACACTCTTTAAGTTACTAAGTGTCATAGTGGAAACTAAGTGCCATACTTTGTTATGCCTATTAACTTGGTTTTCCGTTACTGGTGCAGAGGAGTTTCCCCATGGACAGTGGGAGCAGAGAAGAGCGCAGCAGGCTACGCAACAGAGCTCAGTTCTCTGCTACTGCTGTAGCTGTTAGACAAACACACTAGGAGGTGTCCCCAAGAGCTACCACATCCCTTCTCGACTGTGGTGTTTATGCCACGAGTGCGGACTGTATAGTAAATAAATGTGTATCACAGAATACACTCAGAAACTGGTCTTTGACTGTCACTCATTCAAGATGTACTGAGAACCACTATGTGCTGGGTGCTGGGTGAAGACATTAACACAAACAGGGTCCCTACGCTTAGGATGCTTACATTCCACTGTGGGAAAGTTAGGTAATAAATATTTAAGAAAAAAACAAACCAACTGTGAACAAATTAGGCAAATTTGATATGAGGTGACGGGTGGGGGGGGGCTATTTCTGGTTGAGTCAGGAAGAGTCTCCTTGTGAAGAGAAGCTTAAGCTAAGAACTAAAGGATTTTAAGACTGTGCTCACTTCTCCTACCTACAAAAAAACAGGCAAACCTTCTTTCCTGATGGAGTTCTAAGTCATGAGCAGTGGGATCACCACCCTTAAGTTGGCTGAAGTTTCCAATTAGTCCGCACAGTAGGGCATTTGTGACGTGCAGGCGACAAGGATGGGGTACTGTGCACCCTGGGGTAGTAGCTGCAAACACCCTGGGCCGAGCACAGCCAAGGACCTCGGCTTAGCGGAGGGCGGCAGAGGAGGAGGGCACACCACGCCCGTCTCCGCAAGCGGCAGCAGCCTCACGACACTCCTCGGGGATTTTCACGGGCCGGCCTGCACAACATCCATTGCTTCTAAATGGAACGTGCCAGTTCTTCAATAAACAGATACAACACCTCAGCCCCCATCCTAAGATCCCAGGGAAGCAGACATTTTCTTATGTATTGTTTCATCTTATTTTTGGTCCTGTGTACGCAGTTCTCCTCTCCATACAACACCGTGTGCCACGCAGGGTACCAGGCATAGTGCACACAGTGCAGAACAAGACAGGTGAGCTCCTCGCCCTCACGTAGCTTATATTCAAGGGCTTTATGTTCTAGGGGGGAATGAAGATAGAAGACAGACAAGAGAAGAGTAAAAATAGAATACAGACAATGGTTCATAACTGAAAACAAAATGAGGTGGACCTGCTTTACTCAGAAACTTAGGAAAGACTGAGAGGAACCTGTAAGTTGAGTCCTAAATAATGAGGCGCCAGTCATACCAGGGGTGGGAACAAAGACAAAGTCCAAGGCTGCTCTGTTTGGGAAACTGGGAGGACTGCACAGACAGAGCAGTGAACAGGAAAGAAAGGATAGAAAAGATAAGCCTGGAAAGGCAGGCAGAGGCCAGATCACACAGGACTTTGTAAGGAACATCAAGGAGGCTGAGTTTTATTCTAAGTACTATGGGAAGCCACTGGTGAGTTTAATGTAACATAAGAACTGGTCATTTTTTTCCAGCTGAAGACGTACAGCTTGAGCTGTATTATGGAGTTAGAATTGCCAGAACTTACATTTAATAGCATTGCTCAACTTTTTATGCGCAAAAATATACATCAAAATGCCTTTAGCCTATATCAGGCACTACTGACTTTTTAATGGATGTGTTTTATAAGGTTTAAAATAATTTAAGGTAAGAAAATGGTATGCTCTGAACAATAGTATACCTTAAATTTACAATATATGGCAAGCATTCAAATTACCACATAAGTTTTAAGGTTAAAGAAAGCACTCAAATCTAAATAGCAACTGACCATACAAAGAGCAGATGTAGCTGCCATCTGTTACAATAACTTATAATTATTAATCATCACTCCCAACTTGAAAACATGATTACCAGCGTTTGAAATCTTCTGAGAGCAAGCAGTGCCTGCATTTCCGGGGGCAACCAACACCTGTTTGACGTGATTGGACTGTGCAAGTTTCCAGGCCAGCGTGTGCTCTCTTCCTCCACTGCCAATTACAAGCACTCGGGCTGCCATGCTGTTTGCAGACAGGACTCCAAGAGGAAAGCGCACGCTGCAGGAAGAAAACCACAGGTGACAGTTCATACTTTAGAAATCACAATTTCTAAATATGACGTATAGCAACAATCCATTTTTGAAAACTTAGGATTCGTAATTTGAGAAATGTGACTGTATTCCTAAGGTACAGGATTTTTAAAAGGAGGCAGACTGGCGAAGGGAGCTAAGTTAAGGAGTGAAATAATGTCTTAACTCTTTATTGGATAAAAAAACAACACAGCCTGACCAGGGTGGCTCAGTGGTTGAGCATCGCCCTAGGATCCAGGACATCCCAGTTTGAGTCCTGGTCAGGGCACATGCCCGGTTGTGGGCTCCACCCCCAGCAGGGGGCGTGCAGGAGGCAGCCAATCAAAGACTCATCACTGATGTTTTTATTTCTCTCTCCCTCTGAAATCAATTAAGATATATTAAAAATTTTTTTTAAAAAACCCTGGTGTTTTAAATCCAGACCAGGATTTAAAATAACTGTTTTTAAACCTTGAGGTCATATAGATAAGACTTTGAGGGTCATAGTCTCGGTCACAACTACTGAACTCTGCCACTGAAGCATGAAAGCAGCCAGCGACAACACATAAGTAAATGAACCTGGCTACGTCCAGTAAAACTTACAAAGGTTTGTAAAGACTAACCATGGCTGTGTTTCAATAACTTTATGTATGGACACTGCAATTTGAGTTTTATACTTTTCACGTGTCGTAAAAACATTCTTCCCTTAATTATTTCCAACCACTTAATGATGCTAAAACCATTCTTATTTGGTGGGCTGTACAAGAACAGGCGGCAGGAAGGATTCTGACCCTTGATTTAAGAAGTTAGTGTAATATGTTAGAAAACTGGTAGAAAAGGCAAAAACCAAATCTGAACAATCTCACATCAGTTCTGGCATTTGGTTCTGAGCAGGATGGGGACAACAGCTATCTCTCAACTGAGGTTAGCAGCGAGACCCTGGCATGCTCTATCTCAATTTCTTCACATCTTAGAAGATGGAAGAAAAACTTGCCTCAGGAGGTGAGGATGAACTGCTATAACATCTATATAAACAGTACAACTTCTGACATTCAGCAGTAGTCAATGCTACCTTGTTATATTTTATTACCTACTTTTATCTAAACTGATACTTCAGGGATAGAAATAAATTCCAACAGGAAAAAAAAAAGCCAAAGAAACAAAAAATGTGTCCCATTAATTTACTAATTTTCAGAAGACAATTATGTAGCAGGCAAACTGATAACAGAAAAAAGAAAACGGCAGTCTTTAACTTCTTATGAGACACTAGGATCACATAATGGCAGTCTTTAACTTCTTATGAGACAGTAGGATCACATATTCAAATAAAAATCTAAGCTGATGATATAAAAAAGTAACACGTTTTGAGCGCTTACTTTGTGCCAAATGCTACATTCCAAGTGGTTACCATGAATTACCCCACTCGACCTTCCCAATTCTATGGGGTGGACACTGTTCCCATCCTGCCTGCACAGGCGAGAAAGCGAGGCATTAGGGTCAGGAACGCGCTGAGGGGCGCAGAGTTGGGGGAGGGGGGTGGAGCCTGGGTTGCAACACGAGTTTTCCATCGGATACTGTAGCAACGGCAATCACTGAAAACCCGAGAGAGGAAAAAATTACTAAAAATGATCTCCGAGAGGGAAAAGCTATTTTAGTTTAATGGGAATCACAGATCTGCCATGTGAACTGAAACCTCTGAAATACACATCGCTTTAAATTTAGGTGGAACAAGAGGGGGAGCGAAAAATCCACACCACGCGGGGTTCGGAGGCCTCGGCGCCAGTGCCTCGGTTCGGGTTGAAATTCTGTCCCTTACTCGCTGGACACCTTGAGGGACGTAGCCTTCCTGGGCCTCCGTCATCTAAGTGAGGAGCCTAACAAGAGAGCCCGGTAAAGCCTGGGGTTCAGTGCACTTGCTGAGTAATATAAAGTAGAAAGCAATTGGGAAAGTGCCCTCAGCTGCTGCAGACAATGGGTGTATAACAAAAAAGAAAAAATGCAATCTAGGTTTATAACCTAAAATCGCATGAAAATCCAAACAAACCCTGGATCTTAGAAAGCAAGGAAAAGTGATAGATCCGATGCAAACCTCAGTTAAAAGGGGGGGAGAGAAAAAAAGCACATGGCGGACCCCCACCCACGGCATTTAAAAACAAGATGAAAATCCCTACAGCCAAACCCGTTCCTACGGTCTCGTTCAACTCCCGACACGAGGGGCCCGCGCCGGACGCAGACGCGCTTTACGCCGCGG